GGAGCCCCACGCCTAAGGGGCGCAGCATGCGCTGGTGTGGCGCGTAACCATGTTGTTGCTGTTGTTGCTGCTGTTGTTGCTGTTGCTGTTGCTGATGATGGTACAACATTTGTTGATGCTGCTTATGCTGATGAAAATGATAATAAGCATGCTTTCGTTGTTGCCGGTGATGATTATAGAGAGGATGTTGTGGCTGTGGTTGCTGCTGCGGATGCCATTGCTGCTGCCTTTGTGGATGCAACTGTGCACAGCTTTGGCTGTATTCCGTCAGGAATGCCGGTACCGCATGGCTCGACTTGTTGCCCATGAGTGTGAAGGGTGAGCAGGATACAAGTAATAAGCCGAAAAGTCGCCCAGCTGCCTGCCCGTGGAAAGCGGCCAGCTGGGGGCTTTAGAGTTGCGGCTAAGTCCCGTTGTTTTGCACCTCTGTGTTGATATCCACTCTACACGATCACCTCCTCATCAGTGGTAATGAATAAAATAGTACTCGCAGAAGTAATCCGCGAAAGTGTGATAAGACTAGGAAGAATAGACGGCAATTCTCAATATGATAGACTGTAACCAAAGCAGAAGCACAGCAGAACACCGCCTAGCCAGGAGAGGGACTCTGTCTATGCACCAGACATTGTGGACGTCCTGATCTGGAGTGTGCCTGAATGTGGCATAGTCATTGATCGTCTTTTTGAATGTCCTTCCTCAACTTGTCTCAGCCGCCACGCCGGCTTTTTGTCGGGACTGGCGCAGACCCCCGACCGATGCTTTCCCTGCCTTTGAACCCCAAACCTGACTACACATCGACGCCGGCTCCAGGTTTTCCGCAGCGAGAAGGGAAGAGTGCTAAGGATAGATTGTTCGATTCCTAACGGGCAACTTGTGCTCGCAACTAGTCAGGCCGTTGCGGCATGCCTATTCCTAACCTTTTGCGTCAGATGAGCTTGCTCTCATTCACAATATTTGTCAGTATTCCTTGAGGACCAAACAAGTAACCTAGTATGGCTGATTCATATTGGATTCAATTGGTTTTGCATTGAGGTCGAGGTTGATCTAAAGGGATACCAAGGCCCTGGCTCCTCCGGACCCCCTAGCTGGAGCCCCCGCGTTTTGCGGCTGCTCCCGATAGGACCTCAAAAGTGTGTATTTCTGTGAACTGCCTTTAAGCGGATGTAGGTTGGTAATGTCTGGGTCCATTCCTAACACTTGCGGGCCAATATACAACCTTCATATACTCTTTTGCAAGAACTGCCAGCGAATCTACCCACGATTATTGATTTAGCTTTAAAAATCGTAACTCCATACCCTCTAGAACATCGTTACCAATAAGTCC